AGGCTCGCAAGACAAAGCTCGGCGAGGATCATCCTGCCACATTGACGAGTATGGGCAACCTTGCATTGGTATACAGTGATCATGTTAAGGGCCAGGCCCGGAAATGCTAATGACTAGCTTTGGCACAAAAGATTTCGTTAAGGAAGAAAGGAACGAATGCCCAGTCGGGCGGCTCTAAATACATGCGCGCGCAGTGCGGGTAAATAGGTCCTCTGATAATCTCTTCGTCCGGTAACCTCTCCGCTTGGCTAAGTATACCGTTTATGCGACAGGCGCAGCCTGTGACAATACCTCCACACTCTTGCGACTTCATTCCCGGAAAATAAATCCTAGATACGCTAATCCGCTTTGGTTCACCACTCTGTAATTTCGGCAGAAGTGCGGTGGTAATTGGTATAGATGACCAATGAGTCATCATCATAATGGTTGGGATAGGTTTGCCCAATACTTCATTGTTGGGGCCAACCATCTGGTGCTTAGTCACAAGTCAACCTGGATGTAGCCAACTAATTATGCGTTTCTTAAAGTCTTCTTCATGAAACGCTTCTGGAGCCAATACTACTCTATGAGAATGGCTGTCGGCGGCTGTTTCTGCGGCAAGGTTCAAATCAAATATAATGGCCAGCCTCTGACGTCGGCTAGTACAACCCACAGAATTCAAATTTTTGTGAACCTAACCTAATCTTATTTTCCACTAGGGACTGTGCCACTGTCTCGATTGTCGCAAGCTTACCGGGGCACCCTATACCTACAATTATATCGTCGAAAGTGCAGAACTGGATATCTCTGGAAATCCGAAAGAAGTGGCAAAAACATCAGATAGTGGAAATAATATTAGGAATTATTTCTGTCCTGACTGTGGTCTGTATCATAAGACTGCATTTGGGAAGACAGCCTCTGACGAAAATGATAGGCACGCCGCTTTTTGGACGGAAGATAAAATCTGACGGAGATTCTGATGAGATTACAATCATCCGGGCAGGAATATTTGATGACATCCGAATTTTGAATGAACGCAAACCTGAGGCGGAGATATACACTGATAGACGATTAAAGTGGGTAAATCCTGTTGAGGGGGCTGATCAATTTAGCGGCATGTTGTCGCTACCATAACCTAATGATCGAGCTTGACACTTTGAGGCATGTCGTGTGGACTACTCTTGCATGACGTCGGAAGACGCGAAGGTGTGATACATGAGGAAACATGGTTGCTGCTGTGAGCTGTGAGTTGGGAGGGTGCCGAATGGGGGCACAGAAGAAGCGTGTGTACCTGTCAACTACTTTGCTCGGAAGGATGTCATAGGCACTATTCGGAGTGAATAGAGGAAGAACTCTGATTCTAGATATCTATCTATCATACGGCCTTTTTATAAACAATCTGGCGGCCGTCAACTAAGCGCAAAAGGGAAGGTCATTGTGACGGCTCAACGGCTCAACGCCAGACAAACAGCGCCAACATATCAAACGATGCCATACAAGCAATATGGGCAAACGAGGGCTTAAGCCGCACCACACAAATGCCTATAAAGACCGTTCATCGCCTAGATAGATTTCCTTTTCGTCTTCTTCCCCAGATTCGATATTCTCGTTGTTAGGCTACCTAGTCCAGATATGAATATTATTCGTTTTATCTGCTAGTTTCCGAGCCCGTGACTGTCATTGCGAAAGAAGTTCATTTACCTCTGCCGCCCCATGCCGCTGCCCTAAAAACCCTACCACTGCTGTGTTGTCCTCGGCTTTGACCCCAAATCCTTGTAATCGCCGCTGCTATGCTTGCCGTACACCTTCCATCTCATGCCCATGGGCCATCATTGCAATCATGGAAATCATGACACCGCGGTATGCACATGAGCCTGTATCCTTCCACTGCTGGCATATCATCTGCGGCAACCCACACTGGAAACACCCGGAAAATGGTGCGTATGTGATATGCCGTCGTACGTGTAAAAACTGTGATGGCTCGACGCCGCATCAACAGCTCAACGCTGTGTCAACAGCTGACACAGACTGTCACAGGCTGCGCCTGTCGCATAAGCGATATGTCTAGTCAAGCGGAGAGGCTATCAGACGGAGAGGTTATCGGAGGAACTATTTACCCGCACTGCGCACACATGTATTTAGAGCCGCTCGATCGGGCATCCGTCCGATATTTCTTCAACGAAATCTTTTGTGCCAAAGCTGGTCATTAGCATTTCCGGGCCTAGCCCTTAACACAGACAAACGACATCAACACGCCGGACAAGACGTTAGTGATATCAAACGAACGCCTATAAAACCCCTTCTTTCTCTATATAGATTTCCTTTCTCTTTTTTCCCAGATTCGATATTCTCGTCGATGGCTACACTAGTTTAGATAGGAATATCATTTCGTTAGTATCTACTAGTCCGAGCCGGTGACAAAAACCATGGTTTTGTAGCGGTCTCGTTTCCATGGGGACATTGATATAAATCATGCTCAGCAGTGAATCCTTTCTGTGTGCAATACCAGCATCGGTCCCGCCATAAATGTACTTGGGCCTGTAAAAATTCAAGCTCCCCAAATATTGCTTGCTGGGACTGCTCAAACCCCTGCCGGATGCCCTGCCGCTGCCGGTCTTGCTGCTGGAACTGCTCGATGATCTGGGGTGGAATTCTGGCCTGGGATTGCTTACTGGAACTGATGCCTGTTGGCTGTCACAGGCTGCGCCTGTCGCCTAAGCGGTGTATTTAGTCGGGCGGAGAGGTTGCCAGATGGAGAGATTATTGGAGGGACTATCGACCCCGCGCTGCGCGAACATGTATTTAGAGCCGCCCGACCGGGAATTCGTGCTTTTCTTCAACGGATTCTTTTGTACCAAAGCTAGTCATTAGCTTTTGTGGCCTAGCCCTTAACAACACTGCCCACACCAACCATTCTCGCCATCCATACTTATTGCCGAACTGACATGGCCACTCTCGAGTCCCTCAAGTGGGCCCTTAGGCAAAAAGTCACGGCAACGGGGTCATCCCCGAAGCAACCATTGTCAGACACACAGTATAGCGCTGGCTTCGATATCTTGGTGCGGGACTCAGAATGGATGAACTACCAAGACTTCATTATCCCTCAACTATCTCAGTTGCTAGCCCCTCTCTTCGACTCGCGTGCCCATATCTCGGTGCTAGAAATCGGACCCGGCCCGAAAAGCGTACTTGGATATCTGCCCAGTCGTTTGAGACGGAAGGTCAGGAGATACGTTGCATTTGAGCCTAACAGCCTGTTTGCTACAAGGGTGGAAGAATGGCTTTGCTCTACCTCAGAGACGGAGTCCCCGCTGCCCTGTCTTGAAAGCCTGCCCGACATCCATCGAATCCCATTCGTTCTGAACAGAAACACAGGGAGCGGTACTGGTACCAGTATGCATGAAAGCGACGAAAAATTCGACGTCATCCTATTCTGTCACAGCATGTACGGCATGAAGCCCAAAGCCAGGTTTATCGAACGGGCACTGGAAATGCTTGTTGAGCGGCCTGAAGGCGGAATGGTGGTGGTTTTCCATGGCGACGGGACTCTACACTTCGATGGATTAGTGTGCCATCAAACGGCTTCTTTCCCTACCGGAGCCGTTAGCATAGCAAATAACGACGAGGTATTGGACTGTTTTGCTCCTTTCTTGGCGGGGTTTGTCATGCAGGATGTGGAGGCAGACAAGGCTATCCGAGTTGAATGGCGTAAGGTGTGCCGCGCCTTGAGCCGCCGTGAGGAAGCCCATCCGGACCATCTCTTGTTCAGCTTGTCGAGCGTTATGGCGGCCTTCACCCAACATGCGACCACATTGCCGGAGCTGACGGCACAGGTGCCATTGTTGAAGGGGGACAAGACAGTTAAAAACCGTGAGGCTCGCCTCCACCATCCCGCCTCGATTGTTAGGCCGACAGAGGTCCGACACGTCCAGCAGTGCGTTCGATGGGCTCTGAAGCATGGGGTCGGCCTGACTGTCGTTGGTGGGGGTCACAGCGGCCACTGTCTATGGTCCAACGTCGTTTCGGTCGACATGGGCGCCTTTGACCAAGTACATATTCTCATGGCCGGGGATGGTGGAGAAGAATCTGGTTCCGAATCTGTTTCCTTGATTGTCGCCGAGGCCGGCTGCAAGACGGGGGATATTGTCCGCAAGACCATGGCGGCGGGCGTGACAGTGCCCTTGGGGTCCCGCCCAAGCGTGGGCACGGGGCTGTGGCTACAAGGCGGCATTGGGCACTTGGCTAGGATATACGGGCTCTCGTGCGACGCCATCGTCGGTGCCGTGGTGGTCAGCGTCGACTCTAGCCAGGTCCTCTGCGTCGGCCGTGTACCAAGCCAACACTGGCCGGCCGGTGCCGTGCGCCCAAAAAACGAAACCGATCTGTTGTGGGCGATAAAAGGCGCTGGGACTAACATTGGCATCGTAGTCAGCGTGACTTTCAAGGCTTACGTGGCTCCGACCTACTCAACTCGAAACTGGGTTGTCCCGCTAAGTGACAACCTCGAGGCGCGGCTCAGGCTTAGCGATTTTGATAACTTCGTCGCTAGGAAGCTCCCCCGGAACTGTTCTGCAGACGCGTATCTGTACTGGGACATCGGCCAGCTGCATCTTGGCGTGACCATGATCGAATCTTCCACGACTAGGCTCACCTCTGAAACACCCACGCCCACGCCCGTAGACACAGTCTTGGGACCGGAAGACAATTTCAAGACCGTGGACGGCGTCGGTTTGTTCGAGGCCGAGATGTACATGTCCGGGATGCACGGCGGGCACGGCAACAGCAAGACCTCCTCGTTCAAACGATGTTTATTCTTAAAACGCATTGGAGCACTGAACGTCGCCGACATCTTGGTGGCAGCTGTTGAGACTCGTCCCTCACCACTCTCCTATCTCCATCTGCTGCAAGGTGGCGGGGCTGTCAGCGATGTGCCGGCTGATGCCACTGCTTTCGGCTGTCGAGACTGGGACTTTGCCTGCGTGGTAACTGGTGTCTGGCCCCGCGACCAGGATGGAACCGAAGTCGCTCAAGCTGCCGTGCGGTGGGTATACAACGTCGCCAGGGACTTGTTGCCCTTGAGTAGCGGAGTTTACGGTGCAGACCTCGGGCCGGACCCCAGGGACGCCGCGCTGGCGGCCAAAGCTTTTGGACTGAACCGGTCGCGCCTGGCTCGCCTCAAGCACAGCTCGGACCCGCGCAATGTGCTGGCTTACGCCTGCCCGCTCCCGAAAGCGCCGATGGAACAGAAGCTCATCATTCTTATCACGGGTGAAAGCTGCGCCGGTAAGGACTTTTGCGCTGACATCTGGGTCTCTGTATTTCTCAAATACACCCACAAAAGCCTCATGGCACGCGCAGTCAGCATTAGCGATGTGACCAAGCGAGAATACGCGGCGGCTACCGGTGCCGACCTGAACCGCCTGCTTCAGGACCGTGCTTACAAAGAGCAACACCGGCCAGCGTTGACAGCGTTCTTCCAGGACCAGGTGCGGCATCGACCTCGGCTGCCAGAGGAGCATTTTCTAGATGTGGTGTACGGCGCCGTAGATGTGGATGTGCTGCTAATCACCGGGATGAGAGATGAGGCGCCGGTCGCAGCGTTGTCGCATTTGGTGCCATACAACAGACTGCTCGAAGTTCGCGTCAAAGCTAACAAAGAGACGCGGCGTGCTCGCCGAGGGTGTGACGGCGGTGATAATGATGGTGACGACAACGAGGACAACAACAATGGCAGGTCAAAACTGACGGCCTTGGAATATCGCCCCAGTCTCATTTTCGACAATGACGCAACCGGAAACGAGGCGGCGAAAAGGCTTGCCGAACACTACTTGCTTCCCTTCTTCCACGAGGACCTTCAGCGACTGGCCAACATGGTGCCCCCGGTACCCGACTTTCCACGCCCGGGCATCGAGTTCCGCCATGTGCTCAACATCTCCCAGCAGCCGGGTGGGCTGGCCCTGTGCACATCTCTGTTGCAGACTCACTTCACCGGTGACTGGGCCAAAGTCGATGTGGTAGCGTGTTGCGAGGCCGGCAGCTTTGTCTATGCATCGGCGCTGGCCTCGCGGGTTGATGTACCCTTGGCGCTGATTCGCGAAGCCGGCAAACTCCCCCCGCCCACCGTTTCCGTCCTCAAGTCTACATCGTATATATCGTCTTCAACATCCGACGATTCAAAAGAGAAAAGGATCGAGGTGGACCGGGATTTGATCCCCAGAGGCGCGTCAGTGGTGGTGGTGGACGATGTGCTTGCCACGGGGAAGACACTTTGTGCGGTGCTACAGCTTTTAGATAAAGCTGGCATCAGTGCTGAGAATGTCAGCATCATGGTTGTGGCCGAGTTCCCTGTTCACCGTGGCCGGGAACTGTTGCGCCAGCGTGGGTTTGGCGGTGTCAATGTTCAAAGCCTTTTGGTCTTTGGTGGTGCTTAGGAAAGGAAGGAGAGGATCTTTGGAATCTTGGACTTGTGATCAAATTCAACTTCTTTCATGTCTTTAAGTGTGACGGCTCACACATGATAGCTCACATATAACGGCCCAGCACTTTTGCTACATTACTACCAGACCAACGTAAAAGTAAGTGTTTCTGTCTACACACTAGTGCATGTGCCAAGGAGCCCTAGAGGGAGGATTCTTGGCTGGGTAGCCTTCTGATTCTTCCCTGATGCCTGAGTAGAAAGGAAAGACGGGGAGTTATGTATCTGGGGACATTTTGGATTGACAGCATTGACCATTACTGTAATCTATTATGACTTATCAAAGGTACATCGGTAGATGTAATGTGGACGGCATATGGTCTAACTTGAAGTAACTAGTGCACTTCGGGTGGGGCGCTGGCAGACTGTGTGGGAGAGAACGGAGGTAAATCTGATTTCGAATATTACTATATCTGAATGTATGTACACAGCAAGACAAGAATGATTCGTTATTGCTAATACCATCTTTAAGGACTATGTATTATGTATCACCAAACAATCACGATAGACAGTAGAGAAGCCCTATTAGAAAGGTACTCCGTACAATGTAGGTCTATGGGAATCAAATGCATGATAGATAGATAAGACGTAACTGTAATAGTCCTTCGGTAAATGCATACACCACATGTATTCAAAGTGGAACGCTGGTCTTCCAAATATCATGGGATCGGCCAGATCAATGGAACTCTTCCCATACACTATCTAGGTGGCTAGCGACGAGAATAATCAATACGAGGAAGGAAGAAAAAGAAACACACTGTCAGTCTCTATGTTTACGATAAGGCAGTGTATATCCACGCGCTCGAAGATTCGAACTTTTCAAGATCTTATGTTGACTTCTGTATACACTAAAGGCTGACTGATATGCTCGCTGCTCCGACTGACCAATCAGAGCCCGACTTGTCTGCTAATCTACGACTGACGTCTTACTGCTGTCCGAAAGCATGTATGTACATATATGATGAAAGACGACAGGATCGGAGAACCATGGCTATGCAGCCAGCATCCTCTTCTTTGGCCACCGCATATATACATTATGCACTTTGCATTCACTTTGTCTCTTTGAACTTCTTTCGCAACGACTTTCCTTTAGTGGTTAGATTGATGGCCGCCAGATTGACTATATATAGGCATTACGATAGATAGTTTTCTCAATCAGAGTTGTTCCTCTATTCACTCCGAATAGTGCCTATGTCATTCTACCGAGCATAGTAGTTGACAGGATGCGTTGCTGCTTGATCCTCATACTATTAAGTATAGAGGCTCCATACTCTCCCTCGCGATCACTCCATATGGAGTGCACTACTCCGGGCCCAAAAACATAGAAATAACCTCGGATCATACTCTCGGTTTCCGCTGGCGGAGGACCTGAAGACCATGAACCCAGAGAGGTTAGACGAACTGGAGACGATCGAGCCGAGATGACTTCCACCATGGAGGCCCGAGCCTTTCACAGAGTTCGAAATTGAACCAGGCCGAGACATAGCAAGGAAATGGGCCGAGGCCGTACGGTCCACGTCCGAGATTGTCACCTACTCAGATGCTTCAGGACGCCAGTGTTACATGGGCGCCGCAGTCGTGGCCCTTGACAGCAACTTGGAGATTATCGAATCCCAATAGATCCAGGTTGGATCGATGGACCGATGGTCTGTCCACGTAGCTGAGTTGATCAGGATCTTCTATACCATCAGCTCCGTGTTGAAATTGGCACATCATGCCCCAAGATCAACCAGCCCTGGAGCAACGTCGGCTACGATTCTATGTGACAGCAGATCAGCTTTACAGACAATTGGCAACCCGGGCAACAAATCGGGACAATGGATCATTCACGCCATCTTGCAAGCTGCCATAGAGGTTCAAGCGGAAGGAATCGCGCTCCGCCTTCAATGGATACCCGGACACTGTGACGACCCGGGGAACGACGCAGCCAATTGACTGGCCAAGGACGCGGCAAGCCCAGGCAAAATGCATTTGTTCCGCCCTTCACTCCCAAGAAAGAAAGCATTCATTCATGCCAGCATCCACTCTCAGTGGAGGCAAGAATGGAAGTCGTCCGCCAAAGGCGGTCACCTTCAAAGGATCGACACCATACTGCCTGCAACGTACACAAGATAGCTGTATGGCTCTTTGCCCAGAAACCGGGCATACCTGCTGACGCAGTTACACACATGCCACTGCTGGTTATCCACATATACCAAGGCCCACCGATTCCGCGACGATGATTGTGACGGCTCAACGCCACATCTACGCCAACATCGACAAACATCATCAACATGGCAAACGATGCTCCCGAGACAATCAAGACAGACACCACACGACCCCTATAAAATCTCTTCCTGTAGATAGCTTTCTCTTCTCCTCCTTTTCTTCCCCAGATTCGATATTCTCGTTGAGAGGCTACTACCTAGTCTATATAGGAATATTATTTCGTTATTATCTACTAGTTACCCAGCCGTGACACGCTCCACGCGACACTTTTGCTTTCCGACTTCTTGATTCTGCCATTGATACATATGGCATGCCTGAAGTGAGAACCGCATTCTGCGGATAACCCTCATATACATGGGCCCGCAGCTGATCGACGACAATTGCTTAGATGAACGGCCCAACCGACAATCGATTATTGCCATAATTTTTATAGGCGTTTACAGAACACATCTATATTGGTTGATTTCCGAAAAAAGGTTACGACGACACAGCTGTTTGGATATCCTAATCCTAATCGCTGACTAGACAATGACACCCGGGTTCTCTTTTGCTTTACGCACCAGATCTTCCAATGATCGTATCTTCAGGCCGTTGAAAAACTTCTGTTTCTAAAACTCCACTTTCTCCTGGGGAAGGACTGCTCCGCCAGTGAGAGAGAACTCTACGTATTGAGCAGCAATCACATCATCATGCCCCGGCTTTCCCTGTACGATTGTCGCCTGAAGCTCCTGAAGGGGAACGTAACGCATCTCCAAGGCTTTCCCATACTTGGCTAGTAATTTGGCCACGCTGTTCCAAGTCGCTGTTTTGCCGCAGACAAACGTAGTAGGCTCCCAGTTGTTCTGATCGATCAGCTTTGCGATGGCCTTCGCAGCGTCGCGGGCGGCGGTGAAAGAAATTAGTTCTTCGCCGGTCCCTGGGATCATCATTGTGTTCGTTTTAAAGTTCACGGGATGAAAATTATCAATGTCTCGGATATACTGCGAGCTGGTGGGCACGAAATAATCAGACAGCCAGCCGATGTTGAAGAGCGTCCACATGACATCAGTCTGGTTACGCAACGCCTCTCGGACCGGCTCATGATTTGCATAGTAGAATTCGGGCGATTCGGGGTACACGTCGATATTTCCGCCATACTCAGAGGGTAGGAAGCGCTTGCATTTCGGAGTTTGATGGCAGGCTTCAAGTAGGGCCGGATGCGCGGTGGCACTATTTATCGAATAGTCGAGGAGGGCGGAGACCAGGCCATCGCAGTCTTGGAGGGCTGCCACCAGCGATGGGATGGAATAGTCTGTCTTGCGGAAGGAGATGTCGCTTCGTTTAAACCATGGCTTAGGGCTTCGGCTGAGGACGACGACGTCATGCGATGCGGCGAGAAGCTCCTCCACCAGGTATTTCGCCAGATCACCGGCACCTGCAATCGCGATACGCATGATTGAATTGGGGTTGATGGTGTTTGTGTAAAGGTCCTTGGTTTGTGATTTGTTTAATTTATTGATGTTCATCTGTTCTTTTTGTAACCATTGACCCAAGCGCTTACCAATCGTTGATCTACTTCGGGCTCGCTGTCGCCTTCCACGCATGTAGATCCCTGTGGATATACCTGTAGGGTATACCACCCCAATATATCCAACCAAAAGGTATCTCACTATCATGTATCCGTATTGTATACCATATCCAACTCCCGACCCGTGATTGCCAAAGGGCCTATCATACAGATGGCCTTTCTAGAAGGCGAAGGAAACATTATCAATCATAAGAAATCATGCTCGCTGTTAGTTGCTTAACATAGAGCATACTGTCAACAAAAGGAAAGAACAGAGAGCTGGCCAAATAAAGCAAGTTCAGTTCCCCTTTTAAGATTCTCACGTTGAGCATAACCAACCGCCAATACTCTCCTCGGAATTTCTAAATTCGTTACCTACAACCATCCAAACAATGTCGAGCACCATCGAAAAACCACAACTTCGCCGCCTGCCGAAGGATAGCAACTCTCCAGACATCATGTCAGTTATCAGAGCCGACGGGGGTGTCATCATCCGAAACTTCCTTTCTCAGGACCAACCCCAGCGCTTCAACATCGAAATCGACCACGAAATCGCGCAGCTGAATGCGGGTTCCACGCACACCGATGAGTTTATCTCCAAGTTCCACGGCATCAACACCAAACGGCTCACAAACTTGGTGACGCTGAGCCAAACCTTCCGCGAAGAGCTAATGGACAGTGATTTGGTCCATGCCATTGCTGAAAAGGTGTTCCTGGAGGAATCCAAGAGCTACTGGATGACCACCGCGCAGGTCATTGAGATTGGCCCCGGCAACGCCGCAAAGCCTCTCCATCGGGACCTGGAAAATGACTACCCGTTCATAGCCATGGGTCCCGCGGGCCCGGAGGTATCCCTCAACTTTCTCATTGTGCTTTCGGATTTTAGCGAGGAGAACGGGGCTACGAGGGTCATTCCGGGCAGCAAACATTGGCTTGACTTCAACGACCGCGGGACACCCGAAATGACCATCCCGGCGGAGATGAGCGCGGGCGATGTGCTCTTGATTTCAGGAAAGGTGGTCCATGGCGGCGGCCCTAACCAGACGCCCAACACCAGCCGCCGGGGGGTTGCGTTCACGCTCCAACCAGGCTACTTGACGCCGGAAGAGGCCTATCCATTCTTGATTAAAATGGACCTGGTAAAGAAGCTGAGTCCACGGGCACAGAAGATGATAGGGTTTCGGAGCCAGTGCCCCAAAGGGAGGCCCAGGCTTGTGGCAGATTGATTACAAGGAGATTGGTGACTACTTAGGGTTGTAAGATGTGGATGGTTCTTGTTATTGATACCTGCTTCCTCCTTTGTAGGTGATGAGAAATTTTATTATTCTTCCAGGACTGGAGACGAATCAATCGTTGTGTAAAGTTGATCTTTGTTATCGGAGTTGCTAGATTGTTAGATTATAAAGATATCCAAGCCCATATCCGCCATAAACTTCCCCCAGCCCACAAAGCAATCATTCCCTTCCTGCTTTGCCCTGTCCCTCCTACGCCAAATTTCAAGGATGATATTCAAGGCCGTAGCCACATTTGCAATCCCCAATCTGGTCTTTGTGGTGAACCACATACGGACCGCGTTGCGTGGCTCGTCTTCGTCGCATTCACAGGCGATGACGAAAATTGGCCATAGGATCCCACAGCGTGTGTAGATAGCTTCGTGGATTTCGATATTTTGCAAGTGCCTCAGAGTTGGGCGGACTAGCCCTTGTAGGTGCTTCGAGGGGGTGCGCAGTAGGGTATGCTTGAAGTGGATGTAGCAGGCATGGTAGAAAATTATTGCTAATCTATGACCACGTGCTTCTCGGACCTGGCGCTTCCTCGTACATCAGATACGGGTGTAGGTCTGTTGAGTCGAATTTTTATCTCCAACCCTTCCAGTTCGGTTTTAGAGGGCGGACGAGGATGGGTGGAAAGGTGGTTGATATGGGTGATGATCTCCAAGATGGGTTTCGTGATGCCGAAGTACTGATCACGACAGTAGTCCACCTCTGGAAGCACGCTGGTGACACCAAATATAGGGTCGTGGACGTAGTCCGAGACACAACTCCCGTCAAGATCCTTGCGAGTCCTGTCGACAGTCGCGCCCGGGAGCGCAGACCCTATAGCCTCTGCGCACAGGAAGAACTGATATGTTACTGATTTTTGTTGTCCACTCCATTTCGCCCGCTTGAAGGAGCGAAGCCACTCACTGTCCCCTTTCAGATGACGGCGCCAGAAGGAGAAATCGCCACTGATGACCTCGATAAATGATATAGCATTGATCGCAGCCAAGACAGCTTCCAGCTGCGTCCCGTGTTGTTCCATTAACGCCTGTCGTAAGTACCTGAGTCCTAGTTGATAGTGTTTGGTGGCACTGATAAAGTACGATTGGTGATTCGTGTCACTCAGCTGGGCTTGATCAAAGGCCCAGATTGCATATTAGGGTTTCACCGATAACGCCTTGCTTTGGATAATGAACAAGACTTCATTCCGTACCGAATGGGAGAATCCGACCTTGATGCAGGTGGCCAACGGCAGCACCTCCTTCACTGCTAAACAACATGTCATCCAACTGCCGCAAGCAAACCAGTGGGTGTCCTTTGTGGTCCATTTGCCCTTCACCCAGGACCACCCGATGTATCTTCACGGTCACGACTTCTTGATTCTGGCATCCGGATACGGTGACTTTGATTCCAGTTCAATCACCCAGTCGTCTCTCGTTAATGCGCCGCGACGGGACATTGCCATGCTGCCCGCCAGTGGTTACTTGGCCATCGCATTTCGGACTGACAATCCCGGCGTATGTGTCCTCCCTTTCCTTTGCAGGTGTTGTTTTGTTAATTCCCGAAAACAGGCTTGGTTAATGCACTGCCGTATCGCCTGGCATACCTCAGAGGGTTTCGCCGTGCAGATTCTTGAGCGTAAATCGGAGATTTCTATCGACCGCACCCAGCTGCATTCGACTTGTATAAACTGGAATAAGTATGTTGCCGCCAAGGATGTGGGCCAACATGATTCTGGGGTTTGATTTGGATGAAGTGGAATACGGAGTTGTAATGAATGCTGGGCTTTGATGGGTGACTGCGATAGAGCTGTTAGAACATAATCAATTTATTGAGATATGTAATGTGCCGCGCGCAGCTACATGGATCTGTCTCTTGTGTTTCTTTCTCTCAAACGTCCTGGTGCCCTCGTCGCGATGCTGCCGTCCAATCTCTCATTAGTATATATGCATGCGAGAGTTCTGGCAAATAATCAGCACATTAGATCAGGGTTAAACAGCTTCGACTTGCCCTTCTTATATGAAGAAAAAAAACATCATCGAACCAATATATATTCAACTTATCACCATGGCCGTACGTTCTACTTGGTATATGAACAATGCGCGAAACGGGTTTCCCTCTCTGCACCATACATGCATCCTTTCTCTCATAATCCTAGAAAAGGGTTCACCAAAAAAAAAAAAAAAAAAAAAAAAAAAAAAAAAAAAAAAACAACCTCGAGTAGAAAGAAAGAAATAGAAAAAAAGGGGGGTAAAGGCGAGAAAGAATAACCATATCGGCCCCTACATCCAACCAACCTAAAGTCCCTCATGCTCATGCGTATGCTGGTGCTCTTCAAGCTCAGCCTCGGGGTCATCGAGATCCTCCCACTCTTCATCGATACCATCATGGAGATCATGCAGATTTTGGAAATCATTGAGATCTGTGATCGTAACACCCAGTTCATCCTCGTCCTCATCATCGTCGGCATCTTCTCGAAGCATGGCAAGCAAGTGCAACAGCGTGGCTTGTCTACTCATCAGATTGTGTGCTGGCGGAAGGAACTGGTTGGGGTCCGGCAGAATTCCGTTCGTCGCCGAGGGCTGCTCAGGAGTTTCTTCGGGCGTGTCGACTTGGGGGGGTGAGGCAGACGGGTTAGAAAGATCGGGGGCGAGGCTGACGATGCGGATGGTCTTGGTCGGAATGATGCGGGTAGGGCCTTGATGTTGTGGTATGCCACCTGGGAGGTTAGGAAGAGGTTGGTGCCAGCCGAGAGTCTGCGAGTTTTGTGTTAGCTCTTGTTTCGCCTTGTTATCATTATGGTTGAGATCAACGTACGGCGTAAGTAGTCATTATCGCATCATCATACAACCCCATAAAGCTCACCGGCACGGTAAGTCGTGACGTGGAGCTGGTGAAGAGCGAGTACGAAGCGCGCGCAGCATGATCTACGTCTTGAACCCTGTTGTTGTCATCAAGCGCAACGATGTAAATCCGGTCTTGGATCTCGAACATCAGGCGGTGATTGCGCACTGACAGCCAGCCGCCAAGGTCAAAAGTGGCCCCATCCGACTCGCACTCGAGGAGGGAGCTGTGCGCCGCCAGACTGACTTGGTCGTGGACGGCCTTGCGCCAGTCAGAGCAAACGAAGACACGACCAGAGCGGGAGAAACCGACAAAGAGGTCGCCGTGCAACATACCCGCTCCCCACTCATTCTCGCGGTGCCAAACGTGTTCAGGGTCATCGGGCGGCGTCAGAGGGCCTTTCTCGACCTTGATCGGTGTCAAGCAGTCTCTGCGAGGTGGTCCGAAAGCAAAGGCTCGATGGCTTGGACCCGCAGGAGAGCCGGCGGTGGGTGCACGAATGTGATATTTTTCCGTACAATGCGATGGCTGTAGCGCGCCCAGAAAAGCACCGGATGCTTTGTCATGTACATGATAGCCTTTTGACCCCATGGAGTAAACCACCGCGTCCTTGCTCTGGTCTAGATGGCCAACCCCGCCATGTTCGATCTCCAGGTGCGTCGTCAACTTGGGAGGCCGCTGGGTCATATCATACACGAAACCTTGTCCTTCACTAGACACCACACAAAGCGTCGAGTGAGACAATTGAAACCCTCTCGTCTGACAATCATGATTCAATATCGCGATGCGGCGAAACTCCCCACGCTCCGCGCCTTCCAGATCCGCCTGCCAGACCTCAACCGCATCACCTTCGCGGTCAAACACAGCCATGCCATCCTGATATTCCAGATGGGCGAATGGGCGAACGGCCTTGTCATCGGCATACAGTGTGGAGGGGAGTCGCCAGATGATCCGGCCCGAGTCCATATCAGTGACGTTCAACCCACCAGCCTGGGACGTTGAAACGAAAAATCGACGCTTGAAGTCGGGTTTGAACCGCCAGACAGGATCGTTACCGACTTGCAGAATCGACTCCCGGGTAACTGGGTGCGAATTGGCCCAGTTGCGGGCGAGCAGCGTCTGGCGCTTGCACACGTCCTTCCATGATGCAGGGTTCTCGAAGAATTTGGAGAAGCTGGTATTGTCCGCCAGGTACGAGAAATCGCGGGCGCCTCCGGGCGGTTGGCTAGTCTTCGATTCGGAGGAATAGATGGCTTCTTGATGTATGACGTCGATAAAGGTATGCCAGGCCTCGGAGACTGTGGTCAACGATGCGAGAGCGGAGGTCGACGTGAATTCCAAGATGCGCAGGACAATCTCTGGAGGTAAAGCAGTGAGAGGGTCTCTCCCGGGCGAGGTCGTAGTCATTTTGAGAGGGCAATTGGCTTTTTTTGGTTGAAGAAAAGAAGTTGAGGGGGGTTCACTATTCTGCCATACCGATGCTCCTCACCGCCTTCGATAAATGCCGCGGCGATAAGGTAGGGGAATCCTTTTCTTCTCCTAAAGTGCGCTTGCGGCAGGAAGGTAGTAAAGCTCACCAGTAAGTAAATGGGTCAATATCCCAAGAGCATTCCAATTGAGGGCGAATTGCCGGGGGCTTCCAAATAAACCCAGCCTCGCCGTTATTCGGATCAACGGAGAAGTGAAAAGGACTATGTCATTTCATACGCTAAACATACATGGAGCCCGGGGGCAGCACTGTACAGGAAAGTAACCCTATCTACTCAGCAAAGGTCATCGCGGCCAAGTCCACCTCCCATAATGCATATACACATAAAAACGGACAACAGACAAGACATGATCGGGCGTCACAGAGAGAGTAATCCAGAATAGAGAGGGTTATAGACGGGAAATATTCAAGGGCGACATAAGAGGCTAGAAGAGCAAATGGAGAAAGAGCAAAAGAAACAAACCGCATATTGCGCCGGATTCGCCAGGGGTCACACAAGAACAGGAAGGATTATCGTGACGGCCATAATGGAACAGAGGACGGAACCGCTATACCAGTCCGTCGTACAACGACAGCGCACTGACAATGGTCTCGTCCCGTTTGCTGCCCTCCTTGAACTCTTCCATGTCCAGACTGCCGTTCTCGTCCTTGTCCATCATGCGGAAGATTTTGCGTACCCGCTTCTCTGGTGTGTCCTCGTCCTCGGGGAGTTTGACCATCGAGCCGACCTATAGTCACCATCAGTAATAGCCAAAGACCACAGACACAGCAGATGATACGTACCATCTTGTAGATCGCCTCGACAATTGCCAGCATCTCTTCGTAGGTAATCTTGCCGTCTCCATCGATATCGTAGAGCTGGAATGCCCAGTCCAGCTTATCCTCCATACGACCCCGCGAAGTAACCGACAGCGCACAGATGAACTCCTTGAAATCGATCATACCACTGTTATCTGCGTCGAACACCCGGAAGACATAATTCGCAAACGACGACGGGTCACCGAACGGGAAGAACTGGCGATAGATCTTTTGAAACTCCTCCTTGGTCAGGGTCCCCGAGGGACAATCCTTGAGGAATCCTGCCCCGCTGGTCAACAAGCATGCCCCCCTGGTCACTTCAACCCCGGATCGCACACACCTTTATACCATTGTTGCAGTTCCTTTTTGTCGAAATGAGTCGCCTTCTGAAGCTCATCGAGCTGGGAAGGAGAGAGCTTGGATTGTCTAGGGAGCAAGAAAGTTGTTAGCCTCGTACGTACGAAATTCATTGCGAGTACACCCAATCCAACCACAGCAGGGCAATAACAACATCAGCTAGAGGGAAAGCGCAAGAGAATAAGCTCTGCGACTTGCCCCAGATCCAGTGTAACAACCACTGCCCGCATCTCGATTCCTTGTCCTTGTCCTTCCTTTCCCCTGGATAATGCGGAGCGACCGGAGAAGCGACAACCACTTACGATTTGCCCATGGTGCACCAAGCATCCAACACTCACACCAGACCGCTGTTATGGTTTTATTTATGCGCGTCCGCCGTGCTGTCGTCGAGCCTCGCGATCAGAAGATGCGACAATTGTGGCTAAGAGCGGACGGAATGCCGAAGACCGTGGGACAAATGCAGGAAGAGTTCGTCGAGGAAGACGGTTGGAGATCAACTATACAGCAAACGAGAGTGGTTGAATTGCTTCAATAATCCAATTCTATGGAGGAATCAAAAAAGAGAAAATACTAAGAAAACAGCCAGTTGCCCTCGTCATCGTCGCAGAGCCGTGGCAAGTCACGCGCCACCAGAGGGTCCCGACTCCAGAGCGCTTGGCGGGTTCGAGGCGCAGCCGGCGATCCACGGTATTTGTATGTGTTTTTGCCCTGTGATTCACGGTTCTTCGAGTGTCTATGCTATGTACAGGGCATTGGATCCTGGTTCAATTATATAGAAAAAAAAAAAAAAATAAATAAATAAATAAATAAATAAGTAAAAATAAATAAACAAATGCATGTCGTCAACTATACAGGGGATATCCGATCAATAAGCACACAACACCTGCTCCGGAAAACATGACCCATTGCGTCCGTTTCTATACATAAATAACAGAGTAGCAATACTGACAGTCATTCATCATCTCCGGACTTGCCCTTCATTGCGAGCCGCGCGGCGTGGGCCGGGACCTCGGCCACCCAGACTCCACGACCGGAGACCCGCGCAGTCCAGAACGAGGTCGATGGACCGTCTCCAAATACGGAGTAACGCTCCGGGTTCAAGAAAAGAAACACTGCAATGCAACGCTTAATCGACCTTGATCGATCTGTAAATGCGATGCACAAACGCCCAGCTGGCAAAGAATCCGATTGAGCCTAGAATAGTAATCGTATTAGCGACGAATATGAGAAAACACCATAGGGATAGAGTGGAACACACCAGTCAAAATGAACGCTACGAATCCAATCAGTGCCGAGTACCCCACATACAGAACCGCCCCCGTCAGCCCGCCGAAGCTGACTCGCGTTGCCCAGAAAAGCAGGGCGTTGAGGAACACATAGCCGCCCGTCATGCCGGCGCCGGCAAAAGCGCGCCAATGCCACCGGTAGTTTTCAGCGCAAAGCAAGAAGTACACCAGCAGCACTGTTGTAGCAGCCGTCGTAATGATCATCAGACCGTAGCAGATGAACAAGAATCCAAACATGTAATAGATTTTGTTCGTCCAGAGCGAGTTCATGATGAAATAGAGTTCCACGAAGATCGCGCCAAATGGAAGCAGACTAGTCAGGAACATAGACGGAATTGTCCGCAGCGTGCCCGTCATCGGAGGCACTTGTCGGGGGATTTGGTTGGTCTTGGTGGGACCTTCAACGGGCTATAAACACTGTTAGCCTGGGGTTTGTGGATGATAAGCGATCTGGACCCTTACCCTCTGTTTGAATCCAAGCCAGCTACCCGCGAAACTCAACGGCACGCTGATCACGAACCAAATGAGCACCAAAGCGAGCATCGTCCCGAACGGTACCGCTCCACTGGAACCCTTCGCCCACACGAACAGGTTCAGCAGGAAGAACGTGCAGAAGATCACACCCGGGATCAACAGCGGCGTCATGATAATGTTCCGCTTCCACGCTTCTCCGCCAAACGATTTGTACACCCGAGCCGACACATATCCCCCAATGAACCCAAACACGGTGTAGATGAGGAGAATCGCAGTGGCCAGGAAACCTCGATTCGCAGGAGAGAGAAGTCCGAAGAGTGCGAACACTTGAGGTTGCATTAGTAACAATGACCATAATCGTCCAGCTCCATGCAACTACTTACCGACTGTCACGCCAGCCATCATGAAAAGCTGGGCACCATTACCCACCAGAACACTGAGCAGCAGCGGAGACCTAGGGCACCGGAAGACATCGCCGTGGACCAGTTTCCAGCCCGAGTCCTCTTGGATGCCATCCTCAACAGCGGCAGAGGTTCCATCCAGGTCCTCGAGGTCGATCGCATCAAGCCTGTTGTACCGAGCAATATCTTTCCTGAGAGCTCGGACCAAAATCATGCTCACCATGCCAACCAGGAACACAACGAAAACAGCCGAGTTGACGAGGGAGAACCAGTGGATCTTGGGGTCGTATACGTGCAGGTACTTGTCCCAGCGCGTAGCCCAAACGGTGGGTGACTCGCGCCAGTACACACTGTATGTGAAAGTGACCGCAGTCTCACCATCCTCGCTAAGCAGCACGGGCGCATTGTCGCTACCACACTCTGCGGTTCCATCGTCCAGAGCTTTCGAGTCGTGGCGAGACTCGGGTTGAACGAGGACACCCACAACACGGAACTGATCCTTGCCTCCAGATCCAACGCGGTGAAAATCGATTAGGATGTCGTAATGGTTGTTCAGGTAAGGTTCCCCATTGTCAGTCGCTATCCCCAGGGCAAATCCGGGGCTGTAGAATTCGGTCTGGGTGACGGTTTCCACGTTTCGTTGCGCTGCCGGGAGTCCGTCGACGAGCCAATTGACATTGTAACCTTGCATGATCCGGCGATTGGTGAATTTTGCGCTTCGAGCATCGAATTTGGCCTCCCCACATACTGCCTTGCAGGTCTCATTTATACCCATGTGTAGTTCGATTGGTGACGTCTGAATCCGGTCTCCGAATAAGATACTACCCAACGACTCCCGTACATCCTTTGGCCCATCTTTGGGGCGACAGAAATGAAGGGCCGGGTGGTAGTGGTCGTACGAAAATACCGAATGAAGCTGGTCATCCTGTCCAGCTATACCGGGAGTCAAGTGGTTGACATAGAGCGGCACGGCTTGTCCTTCATCGTACGAAGTCGGCGCGACACCTGGGAGATAGAACGCGGAGGATAGGGGAACGGAGAGAAGGAGCGTGGATAGGAGAGATGTCCGTTGGTTAAACCACATTGTTGCTGTTGTCTCTAAATAAGAAGCTAGCGTTAGCCAGTGGTTTGCTTTAGGTAGCAAAGCGGCGAGCGCGACGAGCGCGACATACAATCAACAGCTGCTACCACCACGAATGCCGGCCGTTAGGAGATCATGGAATTAATAATGTGAAGCATAGACGATTGAATAACCCATCAATAAAGTCCTGGATAACTGCAAGGCAGAAAGCAATGCGGCGGTTCGAGCATTGCCTCTTTGCGATGAGGCCAGCTGGGCCGCCTTGGCACACGTGATTTCCGCTCCTTATCTGCACGTGCTGATAACCGCTCCGAAAAATTTCCCTCGAATCTTCTGTCGCCGCGGAGAGAAAAACAAGACCAGCACATTGGATTGAGCAAATCATGGCAGCAACAGCAACGCAATCGGAGGCAGCGCCTCAGGATATTTCCACGCTACTTGAGACCATCACCAGCTGTCTCTCCGGCACAGGATCCTCTCTTCCAACAGACGCCTCGATCGACTCTCCGCAGGAAGGCATTTCGCTACTCAACACTAAGAGCGAATTGCTCCTTTCCTACCTCCATAACCTTGTCTTTCTCACCATCTTTCAGTTGAAGGGTCTTTCATCGGAGGATTCGGCTGAGGATGGGGAAGCAAACCAGTCGCTGCGGGAGGATGTCGTGAAAAAGTTGACTGAACTACGGGTTTACTTGGAACGCGGTGTCCGGCCATTGGAGGGACGGTTGAAATACCAAGTCGATAAAGTTGTCAAGGCAGCGGAGGACGCTGAGAGAGAGGGACGAAATGCGCCAGCGCCTACGAAGAAGAACAAGACAAAGAAAGCACCAAAGTCGGATAGCGAGGACGAGTCAGGATCCGAAGAAGCGTCTAGCGGCAGCGAGGATGAGGAAAGCAAAGACGAGGAAAATATCGACGACATGGCGTACCGACCGAATGTCTCCGCCTTCTCCCAAGGTGTCCAGGCCCAGGCGAAGCCGACCAAGTCGGACAAAACAGATCAGAAAGCACCAAGCGATGGAATTTACCGGCCACCCAAGATTATGCCCACTGCTCTTCCCACTACCGAACGTCGCGAACGCGAGGATCGTCGTCCTCGCCGGTCGAATGTTGTTGACGAGTTTGTCAATGCCGAAATGTCGTCTGCGCCCACGATGGAAGCCAGCATTGGTAGTACAATCCGGTCCGGCGGAAGACACACGCGGTCACATAAGGAGAAGGAGCGTGAAGAGGAGCGGAACGCATACGAAGAAACCAACTTTGTGCGACTGCCCGCGGTCAGCAAGGAGGACCAGAAGAAGCAGCGAGGCCGCCGCGGTGCGGAGAGTACGTTTGGTGGTGAAGACTGGAAGGGCCTCACTGAGGGCGCCGACCGCATTGCCAGACTTACACAGAGGGGCAAGGGAAGTGGCAGCGCACTGGACAAGAGTCGCAAGCGCAAAACCACCGAGGACATGCCTCGCGGCGATGGTGCCGGCGTGGGCCAAATCTTTGACAAGCGACGGAAGAAGGTTGACAGCTGGAAGCGATAGAGGTAGTTGTGGGTGTTATTTTCATGGCATTTCTGGGAGATTGTTCATTTATTATGCTTTGATACCATGCGAAAAGTTCTGTATAATTACTACTCTTACTCTTTTCGGCGATAGTCGCAAATTCACATGCATCGCCGGCCATGACATCATCGGCCGTGAAACTTGGACAGGCACTTTACTATATTATTTTCTCTTCCTCCAACCTCTCTTCATCATACATTCTTAACTTGACTACGCCCTGTATATATTTACATATCCCTCAAAGCCATACAATATTCTTAGCAATCACCATGGAGAACCCAGGTTTGTCAATTGGCTCCTCACCAATCCTCACTTCGCAGTAACTGACGACTCTCGATCCATCAGTGGAAGATGTCCCCGCCGTGATCCAGATGTTGATCGAGTCGCCTCCCTCGCTGCAGCAAAAGGCCATCGAGCGATTCTTCACGCCGTCCGCAGAATTCGTGCATCCCTTCTGTCGTGTCTGGGGCTACAAGGGAAGTCGCTGGGCAGTCATCAAGATCTTCCAGTGGTACAAGATCATGTCACCTCGCATTGAACACCAAATCCATTCCATCGGTAGGCATCATTTCATCATGAGCAAGGCGAATAGACAACGCTAACTGAACCAATTCAGCATTCGACAAAGACAACCTCAAGCTCTACGTGAACATGTCGCAACTCTTCTCCATCTGGCTCCTCCCATTCCACGTCGCTCCCGTCACCCTCACCTCCGTCCTCACTCTGACCACCTCTCCTGGCGAAGAGAAGCATACGACAAACGGCACCCACACACACTACTTCATTGCCAAGCAAGAAGATCTATACCAAACGTCAGAGTTCATCAAGTTTGTCGTTCCGCACATTGGTCACCTAGTTATCTACACATGGCAGGCTTTTGCTACCCTGTTCTGCTTATTTGGTGTGGCTCTCTTCTGGCCGTTGGTCTGGTTGGAAGAGAGAGGATGGGTCCCCGGTCGAGTGCTGCGCGGTGGAAACCTGGTTTCTGATATTGACAAGAAGATTCCGGATATTAAGGAAGCGTGATCGATTATGATGCAATTCTTGTTTTTTGTGTAGATAGTGCTATTTTAGATACAGTTTGGTAATATATTATGGATTGGCGCTTGTTAGTCGTTCTGTCAGCAGTGGGTATATATTCGAGTGTGATGTTTTCTTGAGCAACATGAAGAAAAGATTCCGGCGGTATCCTACTGCCCGTTGCGGTATGGCAGATACCGGTTTCGGGATAGCGGCTCAACTCGCCGCTTTTGCGGGATTCTCATGCCGCCTCGACATAGTTAACTACTCCATCTATATAAGCCTGACGCCTCTCCGCCGAACGACGACACGCTTTCTCTTTCCCTTTCTCCACTGCCGTCTGCCTCGGGTTCTTCGTAAAGGTTAAAGACAAATTTCTCGAGGGGATCTAAGGGCCGAGCGTATTTTTGGTTGAGTTTCTGATGCCATTGGTAATCATCAGGTTTAGGGCATCGATGAGCTATTGTTCGATTTAGAAAGATAGGACCACGTCTTGAGATGCTGTGACGGAGCGCAGTGAACCCGATTAAAGAGCTGGGCAATTTAGATAGCATCATGGTGGGGAAATAATGGAATAAATATTGAGAAAATCGAAGCTATTTTTTTTTTTTTGTAAACGCGAAGGGCACATAGACTTATAGCAAGGGTTGCGATAGTTCACCATTCCGATTGTATACCTGATGGGTTTTCGTTATCAGACAAAAGGTGCACCTACATTCTAATGACATCGAATAGCTTGCTTGAAATGAGGATCCATCCGGGCTGAAGTTATACAAATTGATCCAGAAAGAGTAGGATATCTCAGATGTGGTTGCACTGATATAGCCCTTACAGAAATAGCTCTAGAAGCTTGAAGGGTGGAAGTTAAGTTGGTCATCAATGTAATACTACATATGGGCACAAAACTCGATTATGCCTATTGTTTTCTCTTCGTCAGATCATTATCAGTATTCTGATGCAGGTTCGGAGCAGGTTCTACAGCATTTTCAGGATAGGGAATACGCAATTTTATACCAATTGTTTGTTCATATGCACTACAGTATGAAAAGCTTCAAGCATGATAGAGTATTCACGCTGTGTTGTAGAGAATAGAAGCTTCGGAATTAACAATGCCTAGGATTGCTTGACTAAGTACAAATACATGCCCTTTGAAGTAGTGCCTAATCATCAATCCTCTTCAAATTCAATCTGAAAGCCTTGTGTGGCCAGCTTCTTGTGCACAATAGATCCAGACTTAGTATCTATCATATCCTCAACCACCTCCGCGGCGCACATCAGTAAATTGCTCTTAACTGCTTCGCCCTTCTCTACTATCTGCTTCCCCAGTCGGTCAGTATTCATGACAGCCATGAAGATATATCCCACCAGAAATGGCAGCTGGCTCTCTTTCTCCAGGTACCCAAAGCCAAAGAGTTTTCGCAGGTGGGCGTCACACGCTTCTTTGGCAAACCGAAGCATCCCCCAGCATACTCGATGTAACATCAAGTAATCAAAGCTCATCTCCACGGCTTCACTCTGGATTGTGTTGCGCAAAGTCTCCAGTAATTCAGCAGCTGTCACCTGACGGGAATGTTCCCATCGCTTTTTGGCCGTGCCTTTGCGACTACGTGACATGGAGATAAACCCCTCTTCCCCTTTTTTGTCATTATCCCACATCCCTTGGGCAAGGATTCTTCCAAGATCAGTTTCGGTGAATCCAGTCTGTCCAGATCCATTACAATAACGATCCACGAACATCTGCGAAACGTTGGCAATTGGTTTCATTGTTTTTGGTCCACTCTTCGCCTCCGGTAGCCGGGCAGTCTGACGTCTGTTTCGCGCATACGATGCAGCAGACTCATTCTATCATCTTGGTGTCTATCCTCCTTAGTGTAATTTAAATTCGTCGCCTATAGCTTCGTGCATTCCGGATAATCGACTCCCCCGACTTCCCCGATACGGAGTTTTAACCGCTACATTGGTTGATCCGTTTCACAGATAAAACCACCAGTCGTCTCTCCGAATAAACATACACCTTATGAGACGGGTGAAGCCTGTGACAGCTTCTAACCTTTCGACAACGAGGCATGAGTATACAGCAAACAGCAGAAAATCCCACCACGCCTGAGCTGCCAGAAACACTAACACCCAATTTGGTTGTGTTGAAACTGGAAAGAAGGATTTATACCAAAGCCAAATACCGATGTGTATACCTGCTAATGCCAGCTTTCCAACAGCCGACATCCAAATAACAAACTTCCGCTGAATTTTCGGGCCACCGGCCACATCATAAAATATGACCACAAGGTTACAAGGTAGCCAACCCAGAAGCCAAGTGAGATGACGAGGCATAGTGATGCGAAGTAAGGAAGCAAGGGGGCAGACACTGGCGGATCCTAGGAGATGGAGTGAGATGAGAAAAGTTAGATGAGCAAAGTTAGGTGACGGCAGAAAACCTACCAGGCCCGGAGTTGTATAGCTTCGACATGCCCAAACGGTGGAAACTATAGGAGTACCTGATCAGGGGAATCAAATGTCCGATCACAAGAGCAGCTGAATGACCAACAACAATAAATACTGTAGCTCCGGGTCCCCTCCAGAGTGTTCCGTGGCCACAATATGTCGTTTAGCTCGATCAAATAAAACATTCTTACGTGTTTTGTCAACCAGGACGAGCAACATATTCATGAATTGCCTAGCTAACTATATCCACATGAACCTTACAAGGGAACAAGTTGGTGCATCGGTGGAAATCCGGCAACATCCCGCATTCTTCAGCCATAATTAAATATCAAAGCTCTCCGGCTTCAAAGTGGTCACCAAGCCCTTGAAGAAAAAAAGAAAAGGCTTTTTCATCCAACAGTCACTGCATGCACAGTACCCTTGGCGACAACCCTGATTTATTCAACTTTGCAGTTGTGAGGGTTACCGGAGTTATTCTCAGGGTTTTCCTTGACTCCAACGGCGCAGAAGGTGAGGTCGTCGGCATAATAAACTCGCATGGGACCCGGGTTGTTATCACCTTTCTTCTTGTTGATATCATACGGCTTGCCGTTTGCAAGGACAGGTAGCTCCCAGAGTTGCTTTTTGGTGCAACCTGATGGGATCTTTATCACGTTGTTATTGTTGGTAAACGTAGTCGGATAACCACTGGCGCCCTTTTTGGTGCCCGCCTGACGGAGGTAGCCAATTACTTTGTCCTGGGAGACAGTGCCGACGACTGCACCGTCGTTCTGGTTGCCCTTTTTGCAGGTGTACGTCTGTTCAAATTCATTTTGTGTTAGAGAAATTCTTTGGTTCCACCAGTTTTTTTTTTTTTTTTTTGCCTGAGGGCCCATGAAATATCAATACAGGGAAAAGATGACTGTACATACCTGGCCGGCACGAGCTTCAAGTGAAACATTCTCGTCGGAAGCCACAACAGGACTGGCAACAACAGCGGTGGCCGCAAGCACAGTAGCAAAGAGATAGTTGAAGGAAACCATGATGAAAAGAAGTGATAAGTAAGCCCCAACTATTCAATTGAATCGATGCAGACCTACAAGAGAAGAGCAAAAAAAAAAAAAAAAAGAAGAAGAAGAAGAAGAATCAAAAGAAAGCAGGATTGTGTTTGGATTCTTCCGTCCTTGATGAGGCCCCCATGATCCCATTTATAGTATTGCCAAGTGGCAGTCGTTACATTGGGACTTTTGATCATCATATTAGGGCTTATGTTGATCTTTCCGTCGTCGACTTTGATTCAACTTTGCCTCCCAGCTTCTCAGCTTCCAGTTCATAGACCCTACATCTCCTACCCACCATGTGTGGCCTCCTGACAAGGCGCTAGGTTACCTACGGTATATGCACAGAATTGATCAGCAACCCAAGCCCTCTTGAAGGCGTCAAATGGTCGTTCTGGGCTGGCCACTATGCACTGAATCTACTTTCACATTGTTGCGTTCATGTCCCTACGGAAGTAGTGTGGACGCCTTTGCTTCGTAGTCAGCCTGAGTAAACTCAGAAGTGTCATCCAGCCACTCGGCAGTGTTAAACACTATTGTTTGCCCCACTTCAATACGAGCTGAGCCAGTGGGATCGACATAACCCTCTAGGAAAGGTTGGAGTATGGAGTAAATGGAGCACACTTGGCAGAACGGGTACGGCGCGGGGCCGTTCACACAAATCTCACATCATGTCCCATTGGTGGGGTTAGCCCGAAGCCCATTTAGCCAACCAGTGGTCTAGTAACGGTGTGTGGCGTGAACGGGTAACAGACTAGCAGCGAATTTTCCCCTATAGACCCATTCAGATACTTGGTGGGAAAAAAAGCCTGGTTTGTTGATTGGGGCAGTTTTCTGAGAATGAGTTCGTAAATCTCTCACTTGCTGACGCACAAGTGTGGATCTAGTCTATTTATATCACACACTCCGCAGAAGTGATGATGACAGGCCGGTCAGGCAACAACAAACAGTAACAATAATAATAGTTCCCGAATCCTTTGGTGTTTTGATTCCTCCATGACAAATTTTGATTTCCTTTTATTCAGTAACCGACATGGTGCGACTACACCTTCTAGACGAGAACGCCCCCTCCTTTGCTGGGAAGGTCGTTGATATTTTGAATTCAACCCTCCCACTGGACAGTGCATTCTCACCTGCTGATGCAGCCAAGGCCCTGAATGGATTGTATCCCCACTCTCTGGACACAAGTGGTGATGCAGAAAGCAAAGACAAAGCCGGTGGATTCCTCTGGTGGTTTTGGGACCTGATCCATGACCTTGCTCGTCAGGTTCCCCATGACAGTCTTGAGCAGGATCGCCTGGTAGCCATCATAAAGGAGCTCCGAGATCTTCCATCCAAGACTATTTCCCTGGGCGAATGGGGAACAGTGCGAGTATGGGGAGGTCTACCACTATTAGGACCTACACTGAGGGAGAAGTGGGACAGTAAGTGTTGCATTTCTCATCATGCACTCTCTCTGTGTGGTCAACCACTGATCTGCTCCCTGTAGATGATGACACAGCCCCTACGAATTCAGATCTGAAGCAACGATTCCTGAACCTACAATCATATGCAGCACGGATTACCGGTCTCCGTCTCGCCCCGTGCGAGTCATATGCTATCTGGGCTTTGACAGACGCTCTGGAAGGTGTGATGACGCCCATCCGGGGTGCTCCAGATGAAGTAAACCCCGACCCTGCAGCCGTTGAAGATCTGCCATTCAAAGTGGCTGTTGCAGCAGAGTGGATCGTCCATGCGGGCCATGTCCTTTATGGACGTGATGAGGAGATTTATGCAACTCAAGGCGGACCGTTGTGGAGACTGGACAAGACGGAGGCGAGGAGGCTGAGACGCAAGTACAAAAGTACTCAAGGCTTATGTCCGGCGCGATGGGAGTTGTGGAAAGAGCGGTTTGGTGTTATCCGGGATAGCAATAAGGTGGACGACTCGACTCAAACAGTGGCAGGGGGGGCAGTAGATGCTATGGAAAGGGTTGAGAGGGAGGAGGGTTCGTAGTCTAATTACGATGTGCTCAGAGAAGTAGCAATCTACACCAGAACATTGCAAAAATGGCCCGCCCACCTGACCCAAATCAGAGACTGCAATGGCTTAACAATAATACATCTCATAAAGGAAATTAGAAAAGAAAAAAAAAAAAATCAAACATGCCAGGCCAATTCATCTATACCCGCAACATCGCCAGAGCATCAGCTACTTCATCCTCGAGATCATCCAGGTCCTTCCTCTACCAGAATGAAAGAAACCCCTCAATCAGTCACTTTATGAAGGAAATACACGGTGTATATACAGCACAAATATTGGTATTTTGAACACGAAGCTTGGCATACTAATATAAAGAAAACATTCCGAATGTATATACAAGCCTCTGAATATTTTTATGACTTTTTTGTGTTTGTAATTAAGGCGCGATGAATTGCACTGTCTGATTTTTAACTCTGATGCATAGATATTGAGAAACAAGGGAATGAAAGAGTAGGCTTTACCAACCAACTCCAAGCCATGTGACTGAGAGGTCATTGCCCGAAGCCACTACGGAAAGTGACAAAACTTTTTTTTTTTTTTTTTTTTTTTTTTTCCCTTTT